ATACATGATCCTTGAATTCTCAACAGTTGGTATTAGAGATTCTGGGCATAATTAACCGAACATTGGAAAAAGCATTCGACAATTGATGTGTGCCATTTTGTAAAGTAGAATTATTACTATTGACTCCCAAGAGTTGGCTAATATACAGCCCCCTTTTGGCCCCCATTTTTCTCCATTAAATTATAATTCATTTTTTTCACTCTTCTTATTGTTCACATATTCTCCAATAAAATAGTACTACACGTAAATTCAAAATCTTTTCCTTCTTTTTTAACCGCACATTATCCAAAAAATTACTATTCGCCTCATTATAATGTGGAATGATGGGGATCAAACCGACGCACAATGTCAGCCATTATTTACTTATCAGGTTTTAAAGAATGATACAATAACTTGACAAAGAAAGTACTAAATTTTCCAATTTTAAGAAAGAATTTTAACTTATTTCACTGGTAAGAGCTTATAAGAACTGAACTCAAATCAATTCTAGCACCCAATCCCTTTTCAAACTCTCACAATTTTCACCACCAAAGCCTTATCATATTACAAAAAGGGTTAACTGATTGCGGGTCACTCAACGTTAACGGAGTTGCATTAGGATCACTCATTTTAATTGGTGCAATTTGATCAACCTATCGTTTATCTCCGAATATATTTAGGTTTGTTATCATTAGTTTCACTCACTCAGTTAATATGCTTATTTAGACATTGAAACTAGTGAATAACAGACCTTTAAAACTTCTTGTATTTCAATACATTATTTTATAAGTGTTTTTGTGATGGATCGTGTTTCTTGTTATGTACATGAACCATTCATTAATTTTAACGTACAAATCAACATATTACATTAATTAAACCGATGATATAGTGACCAAAATGATCATATATGCAAGCAAGTCGAAGTAACGCGACCCAATTATGCCACATTGAATACTAGAGGGCAAATTTATAAGCAAATACACGTTCGGTGATCCAATTGACCAAATATAAGATGATCGACCCAGTTGAAACTCCACTGAAAGTTGGACGATCCACAGTACATTTATAATTTTTCTCAATA